ATCATAGGCATCAGAAAAATAACAAAGAGAATGAAAGGAAATATCTATGCTAAAACAATTCCTAATTATCATACCACATTACAATGTTACCTTTAATCTTACCAAAGTAATTTTTTTGTGTAAATTCTATAAACAAAAGTTACCCTCCACATTTGTGGCTTAGTGGAGCATGTTCAGTGGTTTTGGCATTAATGATCAGAAGGAACATGGGCTACTCACTCATTAATTCCATAATCCCATTCAATTAGATTATATTAAAATAATTCAATTCAATGAAACTATAATATAATATAAACTAAGCTCCTAATTGTTATCCTATTTAGAACACTATTTGCTCCAGGAGAACTTCTATGTCTCACCATCCAAATTAGGTCTTCCCTTTTATCCTCCATCACTGAAGCATGTTTGTTTCTTTTATCATAATTGCTATGGCCTTGGTTTTTATTTGTTATCGTTTCCCCCTACTGTCTCTCTTCCATATTGGATTATTAGTTCTACTGGGCAGGGATTCTGTCTCTCTCATTAGATCACTACAGTATATCCAGTGTCCATGAAAGTGCCTAGAACATAATACAAGTCACATGTTTCCTGTTAGATGCTTCATACTGGAAAAGTACTATGAGGAAATCAAGTAAACAGCTTAATGATTAATCTCTGTATGCTCAAAATAAACTGCTCTACTTCAAAATGATTATTGCCTCTAAATAAATGAGAAGCAATTTCATGTTCACAGAAATATTTGATCTTTCTTATTCTCACATTTGATAAGTATGATGTAAGTTTCCCAATCTTTATAAGTACTGGTAACTATCAAGGAGGGTAAGGGGATGTTGTAAGTAGTTTCTAAGCTCAGTAGAAAAACAACTAAAGAACGTAGCTTCCAAATTAGATTTATAAAGACTTCTAAAAAAAATTAAAATATATTTTACAAAACCTGCCAATACAAGAGAGGAAGATAGTTGCAGGGGAGTCCTGGTGTGGTGCTGTGGGCTAATGCGTCAGACTGCAAAGTCGTTTGATTTGCAAGGTTGGTGGTTCAAGCTCACCAGCTGGCTCCTTGGAAACCCTAAACAGGGTCGCTAGGGGTCAGAATTGACTTGATGGCACTTAACAACAACAAGAAAATATGCACAACTTATATTCATTTAGACAACAGGATTGTAAATTTTTAAAAATTATAAAGTTTTCAGTAGACTGTTATTTATAGCCAGTAAAGAAAATGAAGGACAGGTGATCCGATATGGTAGTGCATTACTCTTCTTTTTTGCCTTTTGCTATCTCTACACACAAATCTTTGCATAAAACAAAATGTGGCAATTCACACACTGAACTGCAAATATTCTTATGAAACCAAAAAAATATTGGTAAGCTCTTTTATTTTCAATGTTTTTTTTTTTAACCAGCAAACCAAAGTCAATTTATTTTACATTTAGGACAAAAATGAATGGATTATTATTTTTAAAATAATAATAATGGAAATATGATATAGCAAGGTCCAAGGAAAAGCATAGCCAGATCACAAAAATAATTTGACAGCAATAGGCTAGAAAGAGGAAAATTTATCTCAAATGTCTGAATTTGAGATCCAAGACACATATTACTGTTCAAGTAAGTACTTTCACTGAGTTCTTTAACCTGTCTGATCTCAATTTAATTCCATTTATAAGTTGAAGACAGTAGTAACAACACAGAGTTGTTGCTGGACAGATGATAAACTACAGGTAGAAAGTGCTTTACACATTATAAAGTATAACACAAACACAGACTTCTACTAGTTATCTTAGGAAACAACATTGTAAAGTATGTAAAAGTATACTTAGAACAGAGTTCTGTTCAGTCTATTTACTACTCCTCTGAATAAACACTGCTTTGAAAATCCAAGCAATATATGATTTATACACTGACACAGTGCTTAAAGTGAGTATTAAGATTTTACTTTACAGTAACACTGGTTTTAATATATGCTTTTCAAATTAACATAAAACTACAGGAACACCACTGAGCCACATAATTTTATTTATTTATTTATTTATTTATTTATGTTTAATACTGCTCTGCACAAGGAAGAAGTCAGGGCATGGAGACTGAACTTTAGATTACACCTTTAGCATATTTCCCCAGGAATACCTTAAAACAAAGGAAACTATGAGTGGCCTTAAAAATCCTTGAGATAAACTTTCAGAAACTGATGAATACCTATCACTAAACCTCAAAATCATAAACTGCAGGGGAAGAGGATATTACTTTTAAGAAAGTTAACATAGAAGCAACAGCCTGAGTCGTTACTAACATGACATCTTCGCTTACAGCAAATATACATATTACAAACACTATTACCTGAACAGAATTAAATTAAAAGCCAGTATGTTTTACCGGTTGATACAATTATGACATGAATGAATTTAAAATAAAGGAAAATACTTTGGTGACAAAAGACATATGATTTCATGAAATGTACACATGCAGGATTTCCCTTTAAGCTCCCTGAACGCCATATCTCTGGTGTTTAAGAGTCTAGAAGGAAACAAACACTCTACAAAATCCTAGATTATAACCTGCAAAGTAACATAGCTCTACGGGAAAGGAGTGAGCCAAAAGTTAGTGAAATCAGGACATTCAAGGAACTCATTTAAATTTAAAATAACTCATAAATTTAAAATAGAATGAAAAAACACCCATGTCATCTTACTAAGTTAACTGTTAGTAGAAAGTTGTGGCTATGAAAGGAGAGTCAGTGCCACTAAGAGATGACACCCAACTATCTGGTACTTGGTAGCATTTCAGGAATTTCATTACAGCATCAGTAATACATAGCTGCTAATTAGGAAGCTTCCCTATATAATAATTTGATTCAAAAGCCAGAAAACCATAATTAGGTATAAGAGGCATATGCAATATAGCTTTTCATATATTTTCATTATCTTTCAAAACAATGTCCCTAAATAGTGTTTGCAGTTTGCATTTGACTACTAACTACACTAATTATGCTGCTACTATGAGCTCAACATAGTGAGATACAATCATACTGATTACTGATTTAAGCAAAACTTATAATAAAACTATGTTTGGAGAGTAAGGGGAGAAGAGCAGTCAGTTATACAAGAGCTCACTAGTGGAGTTCCTCCAGGAACTTAATTGGGGAAGACAGGTTTGCTGACCCAGAGAACTAGAGCCAAGTGACTTTGAGTTGAGATTTATGGTAGAGTTGAGTGCCCTTTTCAGCATCTATCAGCAGTGCTCATAAGAGTTTTGTAACATTACTTGAGCAAGTCTGAATTCAAGGGAGTTCAAGAGAGTCCTGCTGAGATCTAAGAGTGGTCTGATGCAGGCATGGCAGGGAAGAGGCTATTCTGACTGAAGAACTTTGTCCTGAGCATTTCTGATCCTGAATTGTAATGTGTTAACTTCACTCATAAACCCCATAATCTTCTGTATGCTTTGTGAGTCCTGGGTGGCCATTTCAATGTATTATCAAACTCAGCTGAGAAGTAAAGAGCACTGTTGGAATGAACGGTTGGTGTTAGAATTGGTAAGGAAGGTTAGAGGGTGAAGGCATATCTCTGACCTCTGCCTAAGAGGTATTGGTTTTAGGCTCATACTGAGTTTGAGATTCTTTCCCTTTGGTAAAGGAGATCAGAAGCTGCAGCCACACTTTTTTTTTTTTTTTTAACAGCTTTCCTTAAATCCTAATGCTGCATTCTTATTCATATAATCCAATTTCTCAGTTTATTTTCTTAACAAATAGATTGGAATAAGTATGGTGAAAGAATACAACAGTAACACACAACTTTCCTGATTTTCTATCATGCAGAATCTCTTGTTCTGTTCAAACAGCTCAGTCCTGGTCTATGCACAGGTTCCTCATGAGTACAATTAAGTGTTCTGGAATTCCCAGTCTTTGTAATCTTGTCTATAATTTGCTATGACCTACTGTCTTTGCATAGTCAATCAAACACAGGTAAACAACTAACCAGAATAATGACCAACAACCTTTTCCTGCAGAGAAAGACAGCCAGTAAATTTAAAGACTTTTTATACTCCTCTGCTATTTATAGTAGTCAATTAAAAAGTATCAAAATGGGAGGCATTTGGAGCTCTGGTAGCGTAGTGGTTACGAATCGGGCTGCGAACCTTAAGGCCAGCAGTTCGAAACAACCAGCTGCTCCGCGGGAGAAAGATGAGGCGTTCTGCTCCCATAAGGATTTACAGCCTCAGAAACCCTGTACAGGGTTCGCTATGGGTCGGATCTGACTCGATGGCACTTAACAACAACAACAACAAACAAATAAACAGATAGTGAGGAAGATACTACAGTAATATAATAAAGAAACTCCACTGTGTCTCAAGAGTGAAAAAAAATTAAATCTCAGGCTACCTCAATGTCACTTGCTATAAAAGAACTCCTGAGTCAACATTTCTAAATAAGTGTAATTAACTAAGGGAATAAAACAAAAACACCATAACAAAGTCTCATATGTTCCTCAGATAATTTAGTTACTTAACCTATATCAACAGAGGGTCTATGGGAAGTATGCAACTGGCAAGGAAAATTCCAAAAGAAGAGGAACATAGTCTTTAACCTCAAGGCATTTCCTATTCAACGTGAGAAAAAATAACAAATTTAATACAACACAAGCAATCCAACATGAGGAATTTAACACTCACAATAATTGTATGTTGGAAAGTCATTAGTGTTTGTAGTTTTTTTTTTTTAAAGTACCGGCATTGCTTGAGCAAAAGGAAGTAAACATAGGAAAAAAATAAAGGGACAGAGGATAATCCAAGGCTATTAATAAACATAGGGAAAGTAACTAAAATTAGAGAAGCACAACTTCAAACATAGACATATGAAGAAAAACAAATGCAGACAGAGGCCAAAAGGCAAGATATTACATTAAATTAAAGCTGCAAACGGCCAGAAAAGAAGGTCTAACTAGATCAAATGGACTGTTTTTTAAAATCATTAACATCTTATTTCATGAATTGGAGAGATTACTTACCCGATTAATATGATTGTTCTTTAAAATAAGCTGTAGTAGAGTTTTCTCAAATTCTTCCAACTTCTTGGAACACTTCTGAAGAACATGGTTAGGTAAGTCATAAACATTGAACAGCCGAGATAAAGTACAAACAGCTTCTGACCAAAAGCTTGAAAAAGGAATCTGGAGATTATTGTAGAATGTAATCAGTCCATCCAGCAACTGAAAAACAGAATTAGATACTGTGGAATAGTCATTTTCAAACTGGCTTAAATCTGATTCCAGACTGCCTGATTCTGTCAAGTTCTTCAATTTAAGTAGATGCTGCATGAATTGCATGTGAGAAGACACAGGGTATTCTGGTGCAGCACAACGTGTTTTCAGAATGGACAGTGGTAGAAAGGGTGTGAGGGGAAAGCTTTCCACAAAATGCTGGGATGTCTCTGAAGGTTCACTTCGCTGCTCATTTGATAAGTCACACCCAGAATCTTCCAGCAAAGTTGATGCATTCTCAGAGCTTCTAAGTTCCTGAGAAGCTAGGTTTCCTGAAACAGAAAAGGAACAGATGGATCACCTTGTAATATATAACAATGCCTTCATATAAAAACTAAACATCACGTTTTCTAACTTAAGATGTCCAGTGAAACATGAAATATATTTACTAAATATTTAAAAACAATAGTGTAAAAACTGAACAGAGCAACAACTGTGAAAGAAATCACTTAAGCTGAACATGTAAAAGGTCTTTATCTTCACTGGTAGAAAAGGATAGTAACTGACTGTTGTGTCACCAGCACTAGACTGCTAACCACGAGGTCGGTAGTTCAAAGCCACCAACTGTTTCTTGGAAACCCTACACAAGGTCACTATGAGTCAGAACAGAATCAATGACACTTAACAACAACAACAATCTCTCATTTATCCATTTGTGTATCCAGTCTCTTTACCTTAAAGATATGAACTATTGGCCACAAGACCATACTTGAACTTGGTCACGGTTTGGTACAGACGTCAACAAGTAATCATAAAGCAATAATGCACTTCTAGAGGTAGACATCTGAATAGGATACTATGAAAATAAGGACACTGAACACTCTTGCCTGATTAGATTAGCACATCCCAGAGGAGGTAATGCTAGACCTAATTTTTAAAATATAAGTTCAAAATCAAAAGCTGGGAGAATGGAGGAAGTTACAGATATTCCATACAGCAAGAAATAAGAACAAAAGCACAGATATGAGGAACCAAAAGCTGTTTGATATTCTCCAGCAAACAGTATCAGGCAAAAAGTAAAGATGGAGATATACAGAGAGAGGCGAGGGCCAAAAATACCTTAAAGAACATATTAAGGGCCTTAGAATTTATCCTGTAGCTATAGAGTGAGTGGTCTTCAAACCTGGATAATACTTTGAAAAGCCAGACATACACATAATATATATATATAAACTATATGCATGTACATTTTAAAATACATTTCATCCCTCTTTCTCTATATCTAGGTCATAGATTCCATAGATAGATTTCAAGAGTCTTAATCTGTTTGGTGGCTGTAGGGGCCGTTGAGTTCGTTCTGATTCACAGCGACCCTGTATATCTGAGGCTGTAAATCTTTATGGGAACAGAAAACCTCATCTTTCTACCATGGAGCTGCTGACTTTGTATAACCCACGATGCCACCAAGAATCCTTTGTTGTTGTTATTAAGTAGTATCAAGTCGATTCCAACCCATAGCAACCCTGTACAGGGTTTACAAGGAGCAGCTGGTGAGCTTGAACCACCAACCTTGCAGTTCAAACCAACTTTGCAGTCCAGTGCATTAGCCCACAGCGCCACACCAGGACTCATCCTTCAGTCTATGTTTATAACCCATAAAATTATCCGACATTTCTGATGATTAAACGCTGAATCTAGTAACTTTAGATCATTCCTTCACACACATACCATCATAATTTTATTTATTTTAAAATTATTATCAGTAAAATGAACCTACAAAATTGAAAATTTCCCATTGAAATTTCTCAAGCACATGCTTATATTCATGAAATCAAATTTGAGGAATACTGTTATCAGCACTGGTGGCACGGGTAAGAACTAACAAGATATAATGCAAGAAACGGACATGGTTTTACCTTCATTTCACATGTCATGCTGTTAATTATACGAATGGCAGAGTTAAGAGGCTATGATGAGACAAAGGGAGATGAATTAAGAGATCCTTCCATTCTGAATCTGAGTCCTGGTGTGTTACTGCAGGCTAATGCGTCAGAATGCAAAGTCATTTGAACTGCAAGGTCAGTGGTTCAAGTTCACCAGCTTACTCCTTGGAACCCCCATACAGGGTTGCTGTAGGTCAGAATCGACTCAACGACACTTAACAACAACTATCCTGAATATCAGGTGATGAGATAAATGAAACTAGCAGCTACACAGTAAAGGAAAGAAAGTCTGGTGATTGACGGGATGTAGGCAATGAAGAAGAAATAAAGCATCCCATGGTTCTAATTAGGTGAATGGGTATATGATGGTGCTACCACCACAAACAACTGGTTTAAGAGAGACAATGAGGAGGTCAGGTTTGGTCATGTAAACAGCTGAAGCAACTGGGGGAAATCTAGGTAGAGATGTTAACATAGAAACTAGCCACATAAACCTACAGTTTGAGAAAAGATCTAGACTGAAAATACATTTCAGGATTCATCAGTGAGTAGGTGGTATATGAAACTATAAAAAATAGTTATGATCTCCTCAGGGAGCATACCAGGAGGGAACAGAAGAGAGAAACAAAGAGGAACCCTAAGTAGTATCAATATTTAAGGGCTATTTGGAGATAGAAAAGTCATGAGGAGACAGAGAAAGAACAATTAGAGAGGTATAAGAAGAATCAAAATAGAATGGTGCTATGAAATCATAGAAACAGCTTCAATAAGAATTTATTTTTATTATTGTCATGTGCCATGCAGTCTGGTGCATTAACCCACAGTGCCACACCAGACCTTAAGGGTTGTTAAGTGCCGTGGAGTTGGTTCCAACTCATAGTGACCATGTACAGGGTTTCTGAGGCTGTAAATCTTTACGGGAGCAGAAAGCCTCATCTTTCTCCTGCGGAACAGCTGGTAGTTTCGAATTGCTGACCTTGTAGTCCGCAGCCCGATTCGTAGTCACTACACTACCAGAGCTCCTTTCAATTAAAGAAATAAATAAATAAAATAAAATAAATAAAAATTTTTTGAAATGGCAATTACAAATCACTGGTGGTCTTATTTTATATTTTTGGTCAGTCAGGGTTGGTGGGTAGAGGTACAGCATTCAATGGATAGAAAGTAAGAATGACCAACTTTTCTGAAGACCTGGGTCAGAAAAGTTGGGTAATAATTCATATAAATGTGGCATGAAAAATTAGAAAAAAAAAATCATAATCTAAGGAAAAATGAAGAAGTAGACATAGGGAAGAGAAAATAGGACTAACATGCAGAGTATGGCCTTGTGGTGGTGGTGGTTATGTGCCACAGAGTTGGTTCCTACTCATAGCGACCTTTTAGGGTTTCCGAGACTGTAAATCTTTACAGGAACAGAAAGCCTCATCTTTCTCCTGCGGAACAGCTGGTAGTTTTGAACTGCTGACCTGAAAATTTGCAGCCCGACTGGTAACCACTACGGTACCAGAGTATGGCCTTAGGCAAGGTAAAAGAATCCTGAATCAAGGACCCATGTGGTTGGATTATGTTCAGCAATATTGTAAAAAAAAAAAAATGTGGCATCAGCTATCCCTCACCACAGCATTCTCTACCCAACTAACTAGGTTGATAATTCATTGTGATGGCCACACAAAACTCATACAACATACTCAACAATTATGGGGCTCCTTAAGGAAGTTAACAGGTTACAATGCAGGATCAGAAAATGCTCAGGGCACAGTTCTAATCAGGACGGTCTCTCCTAAACCATGCTCACAGGTAGACTTCTCTCTTCCCAGCAATGTTACAAAGCTCTTTTAGGACTGCTGATAAATACCTACAGGACATACCACTACACCATAAACCTCGGTCTAAAGGCACTGGGCTACAGCTCCATGGGTCAGCAAACCTAGCCACTCCCCGCTTCCCATTAAAGTGCCTGAAGAAACCCTACTCTGCAAGCAAGCCTCCTGTCTAAGACACTGAGATTTACATGCTTCTCTGGTTGTTAGATCTGCTGCTGCCGCTCGCTCCTCTGCCACTCCTCCAGTGTCACTGCTTTCTGTCACGGTGTTGAGGAGGTTCAGTACCTCAGTACCGTGGGAGCTCTGGGTCCAAAGGATGTGCTTCACTATTGGCTCTTCTTCTTCTGGGTTATGAGATTCCCCCATCCTACTTTTGGGATGGCTCATTTTAAACTCACCTTAGAGTTCCAAGTTTTTACAATCATAATTAACTCCGTTATGATTCACAAATGAATCATACCACTGTATCAGTGCTTTCTCCCACCTTGTCTTACTCAGACCCAACAGGAAGAGTCATTTGGTGAAAATTACAATGATAAGGCTAAAAGAGACTTGTTTACTACATAAAAGATACAAAAATAAACGTTCACCCAAGACTGAAGGAAAGAAGATGAGAATGTATCTGTTGTTATCAAGTGCCATAGAGTCAGTTCCAACTCATAGCAACCTTGTGTAGGGTTTTCTGAGGAGTGGCTCAAACTGATCTTGTGATCCAGCACAGTATCCTGTAGCACCACACCAGGTTTCCTAGAGAATGTGTAAAGATGTAAAAAAACAACAAACTTCTCCCAGGGTACAGGAAATCAAAGGAGACCTCACCTCATAGTTCATCTTTTCTTTAAGTTACAGATAAGGGGATACTAGTTGAATGTTGTTGCTGTGGTTGTTGAGTGCTGTCAAGTCTGTTCTGAATCTTAACAACCCTGCATGGAGTTTCCAAGGAGCAGCTGGTGGGTTTGAACTGCTGACATTATGGGTTTCAGTCCAGTGCTTATTCTATGGTTTCATACCAGAAGTCCACTACTTGAATGTTATTAAGTGCCGTCAAGTTGGTTCTGACTCATAGTGACGCTGTATAGGGTTTCCGAGGAGCAGCTGGTGGGTTTGAACTGTGGTTAGCAATTCAGGGCTTATCCTACAGGACCACAACAGGATCCCTAGTTGAATAGTGAATTAAAATAAAACAGTGAAAGTGACACCTCCTAACCTCCCCACACTATTTGGAAAACTATTTTGTTTCTTTTTTTTTCTTCAACAAAACTAGAGGCTGACTACACAGAATCAGAGAGAGGAGCTTTGATTTGGAGTATGTTTATCAAACAAGTGGCTACTATAATCGCTACAATAAACAGATTATGTGCTTGTAAATATCACTACAGCATCTGCACTACAAACTGAGGAGGATAACATGAAACATCCACAAATGTACTGGTAACCAGAACAAACTCTCACAGCAATTGCAAGTGGCTATTTCTATACACAGCAAAGACAGCCTACTCCTTTTAAGCCAATAGGATACTTTAAGCAAGGAAAAGTATGCTAAATGACTTATTCTTAAAACAGCCT